TATTTTATTTATTTATTTAGTGTTCTGTCTGAGGACAGGTCCATATGAACAGGATCCTTCCATCTTTTTCTCGGACTGGGACCTGTTCATATGCGTTCTTGGCAGATGATCCAGAAGTGGTTTGGCATTGCCTTCTTCTGTGTGTGAATGGAGTAATTGTTGGGATGCCACGGAGGAAAACTCCGTGTTGCCTAGACCACGGCCTTGCCCAACACAAGTTATAAATTCGGTTACCGCCGGGAATTGAAACCGGGACCCCAAGATTACAAGGCTAGCGTTCTGACCGCTAGACCACCGTGGCGGCCTGAGATACGGATTTTCGAAATATAAGATCCACGTTTCTTGCAACATCAAACATTTTAGTGTTCATTCGCCTCCCTCCCATAAATCTAAGGGAGTGAGGTCCGGCGACCATAGAGGCCAATTCCGCGGACAGTCCATTGGGAACTGCTACTTAAGATATTTCTACACGTGTAGCCTGAAATGCGAGGTGCCCTGCCAAGCTAGGAGTCCATCTACAATCCTGTTTTGTGTACTTGAAGACATCTGCTGAGTTAGAGTAATTACATGAACATTAACACAAAGATACATTTTTTACTCTACAGCTCCGTAACTTTAATCGATGTTGGCACTAAAAGGAACATACAATGCCACTGATTACGTGATAGGATTACGTCATAGAGTCATTAATTACCTATGTAGAGTAATGTTACAGAACTAGCATAAATATCCTGACATAAAAGTGAGAACCAAATCAAGCCAGACTATTTTAAGGTTCTGCATTGATATTATCTGAACGTAATGGGCCCCACGCATAACCTAAACCTGCCCCTGTTTTAATATAAACCGGACGTTCAAGTATAAATATCAAATTAAAAACACGTAACACGAATGTAACTACAATTTTAATAGATATTAAAAACCGTGTTTAATTTGTTATAACCATTAAAAAAAAGGCACATACTGGAACACATATTTTGGAACTTATCCGAAAACGCTCCAAATAGAACACGCATTCTAAACACGTTCTTATCTCGATCTGGCAAGGCTAACTCAGTCCCCCCACCAGCGAAGTTGACATTTACATACCAGAGGGCCGCCTATCGAAACGCAACACCGGCTTATAAATTAAAATACGTATTTTGTGACATTTATCAAATCACTGGGGGACATACTTTTAAGATAATAAATCATACAATGTCAACGTATTTCTTTGCATCATTCAACATTAAGCCAGTTTGTTTTTAAACGTTTTACAACTCCACAGCGTTCAACTACAGATTAAGTATATATTACATACAAATTTACTAATGCATTTTATCGTCTCTGTGTTAAGCAAACGGATAAACCCAATACATATTGCTATTAGTCTGTTATTTACATAACCACTCCCAAATCATAAGTGCACCTTTAACAAAAACTTCGTCCTCCGATATATTGTTCGTTGGTTTGCGTCATAACCTATAAGATCACAGAAGTTTTCGAAACGAATGGCAAAAAGTTGTCAGTGGAACCACGGTTCCGGAGAATTTGACGTAAATACGTCTATACGGAAAGGAAGTTTATATATTGGCTTTATTCTAAATATTTCCTTTATACATGCTTTACAATTGAGTAAAGTTTGATTAAGACATTGCTTATTTAACTTCAATTAGTTACGCTTAAGATGGGTCTGTGGTAGCTGAATGTAATGTAATGAAATGTTTTATAGGTAACAACAATGTCGAGTAAACAGATGTTCCTTAGGTAACCATTGTTGTTTATTTGTTGATAAACCATTGTTACACTTTTTTGCCGAATGACCCTTCCTTATAGACGTATTTACATTAAAAAAAATAAAAGTCCTTCATCACATCAAAACAAAGCTTAGATATTTTACTGTCGTACTTTGTCACATTTTCGAAGGATTTATTACAAATTATATTAGAATTCTGTCCTTAAACATATTTTTATGTGTTTCCTTATCAGCGTCCTTTGTATAATAATAGAAGTATTTTATATGTGGTATTTACGTCATATTATCTAGTGTATTAAGTTACAATAATACTTTGAACATTCTCAGTAACAAATTAACATTTTAAGTGAACTTGAACAATGACGATAAAGTGACATTTCCGACTATCACTGCAGTGAGAATGATGATGATGATGAACTCTGCTGTGACGTCAAGAAAAACATGGCCAATGGCGATAAATCATTCTCTTGTCTCAGACCACTTAAGTATTAAATTCTTCAAACAAATCTTTTGACGTACAAATTTTATCTCCATTGTAAACTTCCAACATTATCATGCCATATATTCGAAACACCTTATAAAAGACGAACAGAATTTCATTAAAAATTTAAGAACTTGAAATAAGTAAAACCCTATCAGCTTTATTAGTATATAAAAATCGATAAATGGGCTCTCACAAAACTTAAATTTGAAATCTACGTATCCTATTTAAATCTAACATCATTCTACTTCTACGATTCTCATAAATGCAGGTTAGATCGACATTTCGCTTACGTAAGTCTTAAATTCACAGAAAACCCAAATTGCTTTTATAGTATATGACCATTACCTAATGGGTAAAATTTGACATGACTCGCTCTGAGGATGGAAGTAGCAAGTACTTCTGAAACGTCATAAAACCGACTAAACTACACTACAACCCAGAAGACAGATATCTTCATATTTACCGCCGTGTGAACCTCAAATTCTACTTATTTTCATGTTTTTTTTAAAGCGATAAATAACTGCTCGCTGCCAGATTAAAATTACAAAACCAATTTGTGCCAATCAGCACATAATTCAAGACGTAATGGCGTTAAAAATTCCGTAAAATGGTTCACGAAAATATAATATTCTTACCTTTTGCATATGATGCCTTTTCGTGATTCGGTTCTTGGGAATGATTTTTCCGGCGTACACAGTGTTGGTAGTGAGATCAATTAATTCGTGTACCCGAGCAAATCCGCCCTGTAAACAGAGAAAAATACAATTATATCTTAAGTTTCTGAAACAATGCTCCTGAGATGTGTGGTAGAAATCCTTGGAGGGATAATCATCCCATTGCGAGAACTACATATTAAAAAAAACATACAAAAACGAGGGCAAACATCCAAGCCTTGAGCGGGATTCGAACTGATACTAATTCTGTCTGTACACTATCTCAATTCGTACGGAATTATAAGTATTTGGGCTTTTATTGACATTTTCCAATATTTTCAATGGAATTCGTTTACGAAAGCGAGTCACTTATATCGATAAGTACACACGAAAAATATACACATAAGAAAATTATGAAGAGATAAGCAAACCAGTGAAATGTCAGGTTCATTATCACTTGTTGTAGCTTCTCAGACTTCAATTCAAGGCTAAAATTAATCAGTTAAAAAGTTACATAGTTTCAGAACATGTTGGTCCTTCACAACAAAAGCAAATTACTTTCAGCACAAAAAACACGTAACTTAAGTTTCCAAACTTCTTGTTATACTTTGAGGGGAATTAGAATAATGGAAAAGTACGTTGTCACTTTAAAACAACGTTGTAGTGGAATTCTAGTTTTAAAAAAAAAGAGAAATCATGACTTGTTTCTCAAGCAAACTGCCATCGAATTACGTCTCTTATGCATAACACACCAGACGCCGACGATGAGAACTTTCGTTAACTTTTCTCTTCATTTAAACAATGGGTATTCATATACAGGGCGTTCACTGATAAAGCTAAAAGCAACAGTCACTTTCCAAGCTGGAATTACATGACTCACCGCCAAGCGCTCAAAGGATTTCCCGATACGAGACCAAATACCTCTCCATTAAAAAAAAAACTATAAAATCAACTCGTCTTTTCCCGGCATTTCCTTCCGGGAGCCGGGAATTGACAGTTGCGTTCAACTTTATCAGTGAACGCACTGTATATAGATGTCACAAGAGTTAATCGATCCATAAGTGGAATCGATAATATATATATTGGTAGATATACGAAAGGATCATCCTCTCTGTACACACAGGAATAATTCGTGACTTTGTTTGTCATTGGAAACTATTCGGTCGAAAGTATTAATACTGAGTAATGGAAAGCAAGTCTCTGTCACAAACATCCCACGTCTTCCACATATAAGTCGTGAGGTGTTCCCTATCTGAAACGCGGCTACGAGAATTCTTTATGAATCACTATATCAGCTAACGTAATCATGCAAGATTTAATATTCCCTTTTCGTAATACACAAACCAAACGTTTACATTGCATTGCGTATGATTCAGCCCAGTTAGTCAACAGCGAAGTACAGAAATAATTCCAATGACGAGGAAATAATCTAAAATTGAAAACAATCTTAGTAGGGTCATAGGGATTTAACAACTACGTATCAATAACTGCGTTAATTTATAGCAAAGGGCGAATACAGCAGGTCCACAGGGCAAACAAGAACTCGGTCTAACACAGCTTCAGTTTAAATGATTTAATTTCCTAAACATTCTAACGTTTTCAAGATGAATTATCTGAGATTTTGCGCCGTGTAGACTAGTAGAAGTTTACATACATTTTGCGTGCTTACTGCCGTCATGTTTAACCTGATATGGAGGCAGTAAGCACCTCTGAGAAGTCGGTAAACTTCCCAGAGGATATCTACATATTCGCCGCCATGAGAACCTAATATCTCACCTTATAATGTATTTTCAGATAAGACGATTTTCGGTAAGGAGGACCAAGAATTTCGCTGTCGTAATCTACTCTCTTCTAAAGCAATTCAACAACTCATAGAACTGGCGACTAACCAAGAAGAAACATTTCTTTCAAAAAAAAAATCTAACGATCAACTCCACCGAGGAGGAAACTCGTTATGTTCTATGGTATAGTCGGCGTAGTAGTTTGTGGCCGGTGGAGAAGCTAGCGGACGAGCCTACTCTGTGTACCTGAGGTGGCACGGTCAGCGTATTTCTTTTGTTTGGGCGTTCAGTCCGCTCCTCTGTGCAGTCAGCACAAGTGACTCGCTCCTAGCCTTCCCCTTGAAAATTCCACCGGCCATAAACTATTGCGTGGACTATACATCACACTTTGTTTTAAGACCGAGTCATCCTGTCCACACTCAGGAGTTTAAAACCGGCTTTTGTTAGATGAAGATATGCATTACGAATAACAGAGCTCCGGAAAACCTGTTCTATAGCAATCATGTGCCTGTTATACAGAGCTTAATATGTAAGGACGTCTGAGTCCTTTGTTACTGTAACAGTACATTACGCGTGAACCAGTCACGTCAAAGGAATCTTAAGTCTTTATGCCTATTACAGAAGCACGGGCAATACGGAGAGCTCAAACAAAAATCAATCAAGTAATAAACTGGCAACTTATAAGTTAAATTCGTACTACGCTGACATAAGTACGTGTGGTCTTGAGCTGCTAGAACAATAGAATTGTGAGTTCAACTCGAAACTTCTGTGCTATCCTTTATAGCAGTGGTATTCAACCTGGGGTACGCGTACCCCCGGGGGTACGCGAAGACATCTTAGGGGGTACGTGAAATTTTAAAAAATATATTATTTTATGATAAACTAAATAATCAGTAATGTAATTTATTTTATTTATTTTAGATGTAGATTATATACTACGTATAACTTGAATTATACACCAACAACTTTGGGGGTACAAAGTTGACGAGAAATTATATCTGGGGGTACGAGAAGACATCTTAGGGGGTACGTAAAATTTAAAATAATATATTATTTTATGATAAACACTGAATAATCAGTAATGTAATTTATTTAATTTATTTTAGATGTAGATTATATACTACGTATAACTTGAATTATACACCAACAACGGTACGCAAAGACATCTTAGGGGGTACGTGAAATTTAAAATATATATATATTATTTTATGATAAACACTGAATAATCAGTAATGTAATTTATTTTAGATGTAGATTATATACTACGTATAACTTGAATTATACACCAACAACTCTGGGGGTACAAAGTTGAGGAGAAATTATATCTGGGGGTACGCAAAGACATCTTAGGGGGTACGTGAAATTTAAAATATATATATATTATTTTATGATAAACACTGAATAATCAGTAATGTAATTTATTTTAGATGTAGATTATATACTACGTATAACTTGAATTATACACCAACAACTTTGGGGGTACAAAATTGAAGAGAAATTATATCTGGGGGCACGCGAACAAAAAAGGTTGAATACCACTGCTTTATAGGAAAAGGTTATGCAGCGTCTTTATATTCGAGAGACATTGCACAATTTCAAAATAAATTAACCTGAAATCTTTACACCGAACAGTCTAATTACACCCGATAATGAAAGCAGAATGTTCTTATAAAACATCGGTACTTCCACGCTGTAAAAACACCCAAAAAACAATAAACATCATAAATTTATCACCGTAAAACAAAAACACCAGTCATATAAGCAACAAGTTATATCTAAAATACGATAAACACATAAAAATAAAACTTAAAACTCTAGAATTATCAAAGCGGACAATTAGACTGAGAAACAAATACTTTGAGATATTAAATTCAGTTCGTAGACCTATTAACGTAAATTATAAAAGATAATATGAAGGATGTATTTTAATTTAGACTAAGCCTTCCGTTTTGATGTGTGTTTATAAAGACGATTTGAATAAAAATAGCCCAATAGCTCACAGGCGGCAGACTGTCTGGTTAAATTATTGGAGGCGGGACTGAGTAAATACGACCAAACTCTACTCGTGGATCAGTAAGCCTCCTGTCAAAGCCACACGTGTTGAACAACACAATAATACATCGATTATAATAATAGATCGATAATAATAATAATAGATCGATATTAATAACAGATCGATAGTAATAATAGATCGATTCCGGTATATGTAATGGCATCTCGATGATTCTAGGACAAAATTAAATGTATTCGCAGTCAAAAATGTTCAATTATCAAGGAACTGCTTATAAGTTATCCTGAAACATAAAAAACATCACAGAGTTGAATTACACTCAGGCATATGTTTTAAAAAAAGGTTACAGTACAAATACAAACAAAAACACTAAAGAGTCTTTCGATTTATAAACATCAGCGTGTTTGACAGGATTGTGTATGTTCGGAAAATACTTTGTTCGCATTTATTTTTTAACGCGAAAATTCGAATCCGATTTCGACAAACCCATATTGGAAAATTTTTTTACTCTTGTGACACAAAACGCGAAATCAACGGCTGTCGGCGACTGAACAGGGCAGGGCGAACATCAGGATCTGTCAACTCCAGAATATTTCTGACGCTGCATTAAGAATAAAATCGAAAATTGATCTTTCATCGGGTGATCTCTCTACTAACGCCGCGAGGTTCAGTTTAAATAGCGAAAACTTAAAAAAAACTCAGCCACATGACAACACAAAAGAATTTTTACGAACTTCGTAAAGCAACATCAAAGAGCTCTATGGGTCGAGAACTCCATAAATGTTATTCCAATACCCCTGGATGTTGCAGTAGAGATAAAAATTCCATGACCATAACGGGTCATGAACACCAGACTTCTAGTCATAAGGCAACCGCCTTATTTAGTGACCTATTTACTACACGTGCATAATGAAACGTTGGTGAAAAAACAAAACAAATGAGTAACTGTAGCGTTACACAATAAAAATAAAGAGATTACGTAATGATTGAAGTATAATTTTGCTTAAAATTATTTTAATTGAATATTAATCACATGTAATATTATATTTGTGTGTGCTCAGCAAACTGTGGGGAAATTCAATCAGCTGATGATTTGAGGCAATAAACAAGAGTAAATAATTCAATTCAATTAATTTATTTACGTGTTTGCCAACAGCAAGAAGCCAATAACAGGCAAACACTGATAATATATACAATAATAGTGAAATAATAATGGATAATATTACACAAACGGATTAACTAAACTTATACATGTACAGTATTAAATATAACTGCCAAGTACAGGCAAACCCAAAATA